AGTGTGAGCACCAAACGATAAGTGAGCCACTTACACCACAAGGCCTATGGTGATACAGTGAGCTGAGACTCCGTCTCAAAAAAAAAAATAAAATTTATGCGTTAAAAAAGGGGCCTCTAAAAATATGTTCAGGCCCCGAGCAAGTCCCTGGGATTGTCCTTGGCCCACCAGATACATGGACTCCGACTTGTTCAGAAAAACACGCCAGTCTCCGGCATCAGGGCTTCTGACTAAGGCCACGTTGTCCCCTTCCTTTTTTGAAGAGGAGTCCTAGGAGTGGTGGCTCAAGGCCAAGGCGGAGGAGGGAGGATGCCCTGAAGCCTTGAGAGCTCAAGACCCATCCTGGGCCAACAGAGACCCTGTCTCTACAAAAAAACTAGCCAGGTGCTGGGGCCAGTATGGCCTTCAACACCTGTAATCCCAGCACTTTGGGAGGCCAAGGGAGGCAGATCACCTGAAGGTCAGGAGTTTGAGACCAGGCCTGGACCAACATGGAGAAACCCAGTCTCTACTAAAAATACAAAAATTAGCTGGCGGTGGTGGGCATGTCTGTAATCTCAGCTACTCAGGAAGGCTGAGGCAGGGAATCGCTTGAAATCTGAGAGCTGGAGGTTGCAGTGAGCCGAGGATTCATGTCACTGCACTCCAGCCTGCATGACAGGGCGAGACTGAGTCTCAAAAAAAAAAAAAAAAATTGCGTGTGGTGCACAGCGCTGTGGTCCCAGCTACTCAGGAGGCTGAGGTGGGAGAATCGGTGGTGTCAGGAGGTCAAGGCTGTAGTGAGCCGCTGATCAGTGCCACTGCGCTCCAGCCTGGGGTGACAGAGCGAGATTCTGTCTCCAAAAAAAAAAAAACCAAAAAAAAACCCGCATTCTCCAACCCCCTCCCCACCTAGGCATCCCAACACCCCATGTCCCCTGCCCCACTCCTCCTAGCCTATCTGGCTGGACTGCTGTCCCCTGCTGAAACTGACTATTCTTACTCTACAGGCCCAGAGTAAGAATGCTCTGTTATTCACTGTTTTTTAAGAGTATTTATTTAGAGAGAGAGAGACAGAGGGTCTCGCTCTGTCGCCCAGGCTGGAGCGCAGTGTCGGGGTCACAGCTCACTGCAACCTCTGCCTCTTGGGCTCAAAAGATCCAGCTCAGCCTCCCAAGTAGCTGGGACTACAGGCACAAACTACCACACCCAGCTAATTTTTGTATTTTTTGTATTGACGGTGTCTTGCCATGTTGCCAGGCTGGTCTTGAACTCCTAAGCTGAGGTGATCCACCCTTCTCGGTCTCCCAAAATGTTAAGATTAGAGGCGTGAGCCACCATACCCGGCCTATACCTACTTTCTCAGGTTATAAAAGAGATACGATATGACGCCTGCCGTGCCTGGGTGGTACTGGGCTCAAGAGTAGTGGTTTGTTCCCACCCACAAGGGCACGGTGTTTTGTGCACATCTGCAAGGGAGAGGCAGGCACCTGGACTTCCAGAGTCTGGGGAGGTGGTCATGCCATTGTGAGGCCAGAAGTCAGCTCTCTGAGCCCTGGGTTCTTCATCTGCGTAGTGGAGCAGTCACCTGTGCTTCAGGGGGTTATGGGTGACAGATGTGAAAGCATTTCCAGCCTGTGATGGCTGCATTTGTGAGTGATCGTGTCTGGCTCATTTACTCACTCATCCTTAAGACTCACTGTGACCAAAAGTCATTTGGTTCCTACCTGTCTTAGTGTCCCAGGGCTGCCATAATGAAGTACCACAAACTGGGTGGCTTTAAACAATGGAAACTTGCCCAGCACGATGGCTCACCCCTGTAATCCCAGCACTTTGGGAGGCCGAGGGGGGTAGATCATCTGAAGTCAGGAGTTCGAGACCAGTCTGGACAACATGGTGAAACCCCGTCTCTACTAAAAATACAATATTAGCCGGGCATGGTGGAGCATGCTTGTAATCCCAGCTACTCAGGAGGCTGAGGCAGGAGAATCGCTTGAACCTGGGAGGTGGAGGTTGCAGTGAGCCGAGATAGCGCCATTGCACTGGGTGACAGAGCAAAAGTCTGTCTCAAAAAAAAAAAAAAAAAAGTAAACAGATTGACTCACAGTTCTGGGGGCTACAAGCCCAAAATCCAGGTTCAGCAGGGCCGTGCTCCCTCTGCAACCCTGGCAGCCCTTCCTTTTCTGCTCCTAGCTTCTGGTGCCTTGCCGGCCACTCAGGCATTCATTGGCTTGCGGCTGCACAGCCAGTCTCTGCCTATGTGGTCGCCTGGCATCTTCCTTAGTGTCTGTGTCTTCACATGGCTGTGTTCTTACAAGCACACCAGTCAGATCAGACTACGGGCCCACCCTACTCCACCACGACCTCATCTTAATTAATAACACCTGCAATGATCCTAGTGCCACATCATGTCACATTCTGATGCACTGAGGGTTAGGACTTGAACATATCCTTTTGGGGGAACACAGTTAACCCTTACCACCACCCTACAGATTACTGTCTTGGACTTCTTTGGGGCTCTTTAACACAGCAAAGGCTGTTTTTTTTTTTTTTTTTTTTTGAGACAGAGTCTCGCGCTGTCGCCCGGGCTGGAGTGCAGTGGCCGGATCTCAGCTCACTGCAAGCTCCGCCTCCCGGGTTTGTGCCATTCTCCTGCCTCAGCCTCCCGAGTAGCTGGGACTACAGGCGCCCGCCACCTCGCCCGGCTAGTTTTTTGTATTTTTTAGTAGAGACGGGGTTTCACTGTGTTAGCCAAGATGGTCTCGATCTCCTGACCTCATGATCCGCCCGTCTCGGCCTCCCAAAGTGCTGGGATTACAGGCTTGAGCCACCGCGCCCGGCCCCAAAGGCTGTTATTTTTAAATCCTAGCTACACTTGGGTTGCACGGAGCAGCAGGAGTGACTCCCCACCCCGCCAACCTGGCACACACAGTCTGGCTCAGCCAGCACCTGGATCCAGAGGCTGGAAGACCTGAAGAGGCTCTGCCCAGACTGCCCCTGAGGACAATGCAGTGGGACAAGATCTTCACAGTCCCCAGTTCCCAGACGATCCCTAGCTCTTCAGAATGCAGGTGGCAGAGGTGACCAGAACAGTCAACACATGTGATCCTACTGTCCCCTCTGAGGCTGCGGTTTCCAGGTCATTATCCACTTGCCGCAGCAGCTGGGGCATTCCTGGGGGCTTCCCAACCCGGGGCTAGCTGGACACAGGAGGCTCCAGCTACAACCCAAGCCCAGCAAGAAGCGTGCGCAGACCCACAGCTGAGGCTTCATGTGGCCAGCCCCCAGCCAAGTGGTAGTGCATGGAGCCACGGGAGGCCAGAGGTGCTGCTGGGACTCAGAAAAGCCACAGCAACCAAGGCGACCCAGGACGCTGTCATGCTCAGTCTGACAAAACAAACGTGCAAGGGGCACAGATAAAGCTGGAAAGGAGAGGGCTGGGGAGGATGTGCCAGGGACCTCTGACACTTGTCAGGGAGCAGGAATTCCAACTGCTCCCTGCACACAGAGTTGCAGGATTAGCAACTGAGTTACCCATGGAGACATCAGCTCAGAGTCCAGGCAGCTTTTCAGATGACACCGGGGATAAGAACATAAAGACCAGGAAAATGGGTCACTTTGCATACACATGATGCCCCAACAGATGTGCCGGCCACCACCCAACACAAGACAAAGACGAACAGACAGTAGACTGGTGGGGGAGCAGTGATCAAAGAAGGCTTCCTGGAGGAGGGGGCCTGACCGGCTCAGTAGGATACAGGTAAGTGGTGCAAAGTGAGAGGGCATGGGATGGAGCAGGGTCAGTCAACCAAAGCCTGTGACTTTGAGCCTAAGGGACACTGACAGTCCTGACCCAAAGGAGGTGCAGGCCTCGGGACAGATTCTCATCGCTCATTCTTCTCCCTGGCGCAGAGGACTTTAGAGCTACCTGGCATTTTCTCCCTGTCCAAATCCACCCCACATTTCAAAAAAAGTAGGCAGACTACCCAACTTCACCCAGAACAGGGGTGCAGGGCTGGGCCTGGGTCTGAGGACTTCAGTTTTAAGCAGCAAGTCCAGTGCCCCTCGCCCGTATTGGGCGGACAGTGTGGGTGGGGCGGAGCCTGCGTCCATCTGCAGGTTGCTGGTTCAGCTGTGGCCAGCAGGGGGCAGCTGAGCCCACTCTTTCCTCCCCACCGGCTGCAGGGACAGTGAACAGTACCGCCCGCCCAGGCAACCTGGAACCAGGGTCGTGCCCTACGGCAGAATGTGGGGGGCCTTGGGTCTGGCGCTGCGTGCTCACCCCCTCTCAGAGTGGAAGTCCTGGCTCCTGACTGCCCTGACCTTCTTCCTACCACTGGGCCCATGATGGGGGTCCCCAACTTTCAAGAACACAGGGTAAGGGGTTTGTTTCCCTGGTGGTAAGGGAGGGCATTCCTCAACTTCGTGATGGGTCCTGAGTTTTCCAAAGATTAGCATCCATGTCCTGGAAACGGATTCTGCTTTAGACGTGTGTTTTTCTGTGAAATGACAACTTAGTAAAAATATTTAAACTGGGGCTATTTGCAGACATCTAAGAGATGGGGTGAGCACAACCTGGCACTGGTCGCCTCCCTCCTGAGGCAGCTGACTGTCCGGCCTCTGCCCCTGGGCCCTTCCTCCTTCCCAGCTGCCCTGGGTCCTCTTCCAGCACCTCCTGTCCCCGCCTCACACACTAAGTCCTCCTGCTATTTTTAACTATTTGGCATAATTTGAAAAAGAGAGAAAAATAATAGTCCCAGCTCTTCCCAAGGACTTATTTGTCCGGTGCCCATCTGACCTTGGCACTTTGTTGTGGGGGTGGAAGTGACCCTGACAGGTTCTCCCAGCCAGGCTTCCCATACAGCATCGTCAAGGTCAGCAGCCTCGCGGGCAGGGGGGTTCTACTCCCCCGCGGAAGCGCTGGCACCACGGCCAACTTGCTCACAGAGGGCACTCAATCAGACCAAGGTGGGTTGGGGCAGAAAAGCCTCCTTCAGAGATTCAAGGACAGTCACAACCGGTGCTGTGATGGGGCCACCGGGACAAGCACAGTGCGCCATTCCCGTCAGCAGGGACCCAAGAGAGAGTGGTAGGCTCTGGCAGGGCTGCTGGCGGTCCTGGAGAAGAGAGGGGGCTTTGCAGACCTGGGGTGGAAGTGGTGGGATGTCAGCACCCGGGCTCCCTGCTCAGAGGAGCTGGTACCAGGATTCCCAGTGGATGGGCTCGGGGAGGAGGCTGGAAAGGTTGGCACAGGCAAAAGTGTGGGGCCTAGGAAAGCTGGGCTTGCTTATTTGGCCAAGTGGGGGTGGGGAGGGTTGGAGGAGGTCTAGGGGCCGCTGGAGGTGCAGGGCAGCCCGGGGAGGCAGGGCTATGGGGCCCAAACACGCACTCCACAGGCCTTCCCTCTGCGGGAACAGGAGTGAGGACACAGGCGCTCAGCATGGCAGGATGGGAACAGGAAGGTCTGGTGAGCGCTGTGACCATTAGGATGGGGCTACAGGAGACAGAGGTGACAGTGAGCTAGTGAAGAGGCAGGAGGAGGCAAGGAGGGCAGGGTGTTCTGGGGTGCCAGCTCAGACAAGGCTCCAAGGAGTGAGTGCGTGCTCAGGAGGACGGGGGACCAGGGCCTGGGGTAAGGGGCAGGCGCCCAGGAACTCTAGCATGGCAGGGAACAAGGGGTAAGTCCCAGGAGATCCAGATGCAGGGGCTGACACCGCAAAGTTCTTTCCTGTAAAGCACAGCCTGAGGCCTGGGGCTTGGCCCTGCGCAGAGGAAGCCCCCCTTAGATCTGCCTCGGCAGTAGTGAGGAAACGGCACACACAGACCCCACACAGCCCGAGGAGACAGGGGTCAAATGCAAGAGTGAGAAGCTCCCTCCTGAGTGGCCCTCCCCTGCCTCGCCTTCCTGGCGGGCAGCCTGCTTTCCAGCACACGTGGTGGACCAGCCCACATTAGGTCAAAGAGTTAAAAATAGCTGGAGGGCTCAATATGTGTGGGGGGTATGGGAGGTGCTGAAAGACGGCCCAGGACAATTGGGAAGGAGGAAGGGCCCGTGGGGCTGGGGCTGGCACAGTGGCTCCTGTGGGTGCAGCAGCTCCGGGACATGCTCACCTCACCTTGGCTTTGTAAACCACAAGGCCGTGGGAGTCCCCTCTCCCTCAAATGCCTCTGCCTCTGCCAACGTGTGGCTGAGAGTGCACCCCAGTTCTCTTTGACCACCCCAGGCAGTCCCAGTCCACAGAGAGCAGCTGTTGCCCTTCCCTCTCCTGCCTCCTGACCTAGGAACCCACAGAGCTGGGCCTGTCATCACATTTGTGAGGCCACAGCTGACCTGGGAACTCCCTTCCTCAGTCAGTCCACAAATATTTACCCAGAGCCTCACCGTGCTCAGTGACCTTTACAAAACATAAAGTGCAGAGTCCCGTGCCAGGGGACAGCGATCCCAGGCAAAACAGACCGAAACCCTTCTCTCGAGGAGATCAAGTTCGGGGGGTGCTTTACAGCCGTGGTCAGGAGGCTGGCTGAGTGGTGACCTTGGGGCAGAGCCTGAAGGAGCAGTGGGGGTGGACTAGGCAGCAACTGGGTGAAGAGTGTTCCAGGAAAAACTACATTGTCAGAATCAAGAGATGTTAAGGCCGAGAGGAGCCTCAAAATGGGGGAAGCAAGGCTGGGTGCGGTGGCCTGCCCTGGTCACATGAGAGGTGGGGGCAGAGCAGGCCAGAGCCTCACAGGAAGAGGCCGGTTAGAGTTGGGGGTGGGGCCCAGCTTATGTTTCCTGCCTTGGCTACAAGGCATGAAAGACGGGCTCCCCGCCAGCACACAGTGACACTGCAGTTTCCAGACCCAGGCCCTGAGCTGAGGGGTCTCAGGGCTCAGAAAGGGCCTAGGCCTCAGATCTCTGGTGAGCAGGGAGCCCAAAATGGCCCTGGAGGCCACAGCTCCAGAACTGGACCCATGGAGAATGGAGGGCTGGGGCCCTGCACATTCTCAAGCAGTAGTAGCAACACTGTCATTGTCCTGCCCTTGGTATAAGCCCGAAGCACCACCCTTTCTTACCCAGCTCCTGCTCCCCTTTTCCAGGGGCTCCTATGGGAAAACCCAGGTACTTCCTGGGACTGGTCTGTCTATGTTTGGAAACCACAGAGCTGACTTGGCTTCACAACAAGATGTGGGGGCCAGGCACCCAGGAGACCAGTGATCCTGACTGGCAATAGACGCAAGAAAGGGCTTGGAGACAGAGCCAGGCGCTGTGGCTACCCATGTAATACCAGCACTTTCGGAGGTCGAGGCAGGCAGATCACTTGAGGCCAGGAGTTTGAGATCAACCTGGCCAACATGGTGAAACCTTGTCTCTACTAGAAATACAAAAAAGAAAATTAGCCAGCGTGGTGGTGTAAGCCTGTAATCCCAGCTACTCGGGAGGCTGAGACAGGAAAATCGCTTGAACCCAGGAGGTGGAGGGTGCAGTGAGCCGAGATCACACCATTGCACTCTAACCTGGGCAACAGAGTAAGACTCCATCAAAAAAAAGAAAAGAAAGAAAGGCCTTGGAGACAGGGCGCTGACCCTGGAATCCAGATGTTGCCAAAGCAGCCCCCCTTTCTGTTCCTCTGCCTGCCTGGGAAGAAGCAGACGGTGGCCACCCACCCGGGCAGGGTGGGGCCTTCACCACCCAGCCCCACCCCGGAATCCAAGGGCCTCTGTTTGCTGCTGTTTTCTGGAACAACTTGTTTTGATCTAGAGAAATCTGCTGACACCAGCCTCCCTGCTCTCGCCCTCCAGCAGGGCAGAGGTATTTTTAGACTTATTTGAAGAAGGAGAGAGCAGAACCCAGGTCCAATGTGTATCCTTCTTACTGTGGGCACAGCTTTGGCCCCTTAAGGCAGGACAGAGATACCCATGTGGTTGTCTACCCTCAACTCATCTCTCCTTAAATACGTTCCTTTCCTGAGAAAAATGAACTGTGTGGAAATTGGAGGCCAGCAAAGCTTCTACGTAAGGACCCTCTGAAACAGTGCCCTTTTATCCTCAAAAACCCAGGGTGGCAGAGGCAGCTCCAGACACAAGGGCACAAAAGAGCCTTGGTTCCCTTTGTGACAGGGAAGCCCATGCTTTACAGAATCCTATGCTTTGTATGTCAATAATTCTCCCTACTTAAGAAAGAAAATACATACATATATACATATATCAGAAGGGGTCTCACTGTATTGGCCAGCCTGGAGTGCAGTGGCACAATCCTAGCTCACTGTAGCCTCAAACTCCTAGGCTCAAGAGATCCTGCTACCTCAGTCTCCCCAATAGCTGGGACTACAGGCAGTCATGTGCACCTGACCTTTTTTTTTTTTTTTTTTTCATTTTTTGTCCAGACAGGGTCTTGCTGTGTTTCCCAGGCTGGTTTCAAACTCCTGGCCTCTAGGCAATCCTCCCACCTTGGCCTTCAAAAGCAATTGGATCCCACTCTTTTTTGAAAAATAAAATCTACCATAGTTTGTTTCTGGGATTTGGGAATGATGTGTGTGAATTAGAGAGATTTTGAGACCTGAGATAGAGAAAAGCAAGTTAAGACATCAACTGGGGCCCGGAAACAGCACTGCAGTGGGGATGACCCACCTCTCAGGTGCCTGGAGAGATAAAATAAAGGCCTGGCTGACTCCACCGCCCAGTACTGTGAAGCAGCAGGGGAGTCACTCCATAGGTTTCATAAGCTGCCCAGCTTTCTAGAACATTCTGACAGACAATTCCCTCTTTCCACACGGTTCTTTCAGGCCAAATCACCCCACCCCAACCCACCCTGGGAGATATAGTCAGGAGGAGACCGATGGGGCAGATCCTGGAGGAGGCCGCACTGCCGGAATCTTCCCCCGGCAGAGAAACAGGGCTAAGCAGCCGCCAGGGAGCAAGCCTGGGCTTGCCACATCACCACCTTCTGTGCTGAAGGTCAGATGACACACAGTCACCAGTTTTCCGAGAAGCACAGGGAGGGGTGCATGTCGGGCCCAGCCCTGCCTGCTGATGCCACCTCACAGACGCAGGCGAAATGTCATCAGTTTCCTCCCGGTTGCCAAGGGAGCCTGTTTTTAGGAGGTTGTTTTGTATGGGGTGTGGGTGTTAACCAGGGAGAGGTTCCTGGCAAGGAGTTCCTGTCAGATCCCATTTTCCGTTCTGGTTACTTGGACCGGGGTTCTTTTTCTACCTCTACCTCAGGGACCAGGGCTTCCTCATCACCCTGCACCCCCTAGCAAGGGAGGCGCCCGCTACACGGTCCAAAGTCCTCTCCAGACTTTCGGGTCCTGCCCGCCTTGGTGGAGGGCTCAAGAGTTCACCAGGTTTGCTTCCAGAAGAGCCAGGCTGGGGGTGCCTGCTTGCAAATGCCGCAGATAAATAAATAAACAAATAACCTTTCTCCCCATCCCCACCCAAATGTAAAATGAGGCGACAGCCGGTCCCTCGGCTATGACAGATACTGCTTTCCGCACAAAATCTTGGTTTTACATTATTTTGCAACGGCCTTTTCCCACTTAATCCATCCTGAACACACTTCTTGAATGTTCTACCCCGTCAGGGATGCGCGTTCTCAGGAAACACGTCCCCTCGCCAGGCCCCTGGGAACAGTCACAACCACGACGCCTGTCCCCGAAGCGCCCGCGCAGCTCCACGGGATTCCATGTTGTCACCCACTGGATCCTGGACGCCATCAGCCCGCAGCAGGGTTTCCAGACCACAGAAACCGCCTGTTGGGGTGCGGGGCGTTACACGTCCCCTCGCAGCGCCCCGCTGGGCTGCTGGGCTTCTGGGCCGCCCCGCCCCCACCCCGCGCCCGGGCGCTGACGTCACTGGCCGAGCCAGACTCGGAGCCGCCGCCCGAGAGTCACGCGCGCCTCCCGGCGGGACGCGCCCTCTGCAGAGATCCCTCCGCCGCCGCCTGGAATTTTCCAGACGTCCTGCCGGCCCTTCTTTCGGGCCTCGTCGGGGCGTGGTGACCTGAGGCGACCCCGGCGGCTCCCGTCGCCCACTTAGGAGGGCGCCCCCGCCCGCCTCTTCCCGAGCCCCTCTCTCTGGGAAGCGCGCCCCGCCCGACCCCAACACCCAGGAAGAAAGTCTTCTTCGTCATGGCATCCGCCTTCCAAATGTCACCTTGAGCGCTGTCCGCTATCCCAAAAAGCACTGCTAAAGAGAAGCGGGGATAAACTGGGGTCCTTGCGTCGGGGGCGCCTGGGAGACCATGCACCGCCCGGGTCGTCTCCCCGGGCCGGGTCGGGGAGGGACTTTTTTTCCGGTGGCCGTGGAGGAATCGTCCCGTTGAACAGTGACCCCGGTAACGCGGCCGAGGGCTATAAAAGCAAAAGTTGTGGCCGGCCCAGCAGAAGTTAGCGATAGGGAGGGATGTGCACTTGCGTGTAGTTGTGGGGGAGGAAGTGACCAGTTCAGGGCCTCGGGACAGACAGGGAGAGATGATTTAGTTAGATGAGACTGGGGGCCCTGGGGGTACGAGAAGGAAGCTTGACAAGGAGACTAGGTCTGAAGAAACTACAGTGGGGCAGGCTGCGTGGTGGAAAATGCCCGCAGGAGCCCCCAGAGAGGACAGCCATGCTCCAGGCCAGGCTGTCCCTACTGCCTGCTGGAGGGGGAACTTGACCTCTGGGAGGGAGCCGCTCTTGCATGGCTGAGCGAGCCCCCGTGCGCTGGTCTGTGTGGAAGGAGGAAGGCAGGGAGAGGTAGAAGGGGTGGAGGAGCCACGAGGAATGAATGGGCCGCTGCGGCCCTGGAAACGATCAGGAAGGCAGGCAGTGGGTGCAGGGCTGCAGAAGGGCCGGGAGGGCCGAGCTTCAACATGTCCATGCCAGCAGCCCCTTTTTTTCCAGACCAAGGGCTGTGAACCCGCCTGGGGATGAGGCCTGGTCTTGTGGAACTGAACTTAGCTCGGCGGGGCTGACCGCTCTGGCCCAGGGTGGTATGTAATTTTCGCTCGGCCTGGGACAGGGCCCAGGCCGGGCCCAGCCTGGTGGAGCGTCCAGGTCTGGGTGCGAAGCCAGGCTCCTGGGCGGAGGTGAGGGGTGGTCTGAGGCGTGATGTGGAGTTAAGGCGCCATCCTCACTGGTGACTGGTGCAGCACCTAGCATGTTTGACAGGCGGGGACTGCGAGGCACGCTGCTCGGGTGTTGGGACAACATTGACCAACGCTTTATTTTCCAGGTGGCAGTGCTCCTTTTGGACTTTTCTCTAGGTTTGGCGCTAAACTCTTCTGTGAGCTCACTCCACCCCTCCTCCTCCCTTTAACTTACCCATTCACTTAAAACATTACCTGGTCGTCTGGTAAGCCCGGGACAGTAGCCGAGTGGCTTTTGGAGTCGGTATTGTTGGTAATGGTGGAGAAAGAGAGGCCTTCCCGCTGAGGCTGGGGTGGGGCGGATCGGTGTTGCTTGCCTGCAGAGAGGGTGGGGAGTGAATGTGCACCCCTGGGTGGGCCTGCAGCCATCCAGCTGAAAGTCACAAAAATGCCTCATAGACCGTGGTTTGTTACTATAGTGTTCCTCATGGCGAGCAGATGGAACCGGGAGACATGGAGCCCCTGGCCAGTGTGAGTCCTAGCAGTGCAGGAGGGGAGACCATGGAGGAGAGAGCCCGCCTCAATTGATGCCTGCAGATTGAATTTCCAGAGGCTTAGGAGGAGGAAGTTCTCCAATGTCGTGTGTCCAGGCCTTGCTGGGGAAGCCCTGTATTCAGGAGGCTACCATTTAAAGTTTTCAGATGAGCTTATGGGGGGCAATCTTAAAATATCCACAGCAGATGCATCCGGCTCGAGGGGCCGTCAGCTTTGAATAAATGCTTGTTCCAGAGCCCATGAATGCCAGCAGGCACCCCTCCTTTCCTGGGGTAAAGGTTTTCAGATGCTGCGTCTTCTAAATTGAGCCTCCGGTCATACTAGTTCTGTGCTTGGAACCTTGCTTCAAGAAGATCCCTAAGCTGTAGAACATTTTAACGTTGATGCCACAACGCAGATTGATGCCTTATAGATGGAGCTTGCAGATGGAGCCCCGTGACCTCTCATCTACCCCCCCTGTTTGCCTGCCTGCCTATGCGTTGCTCGGAGAAGTTCTTAGCCTGATGAAATAACTTGGGGTGTTGGAAAGCTGTTTAATTTTAAATGCCTTAGACGGGGGATGTATTAGAGGAAGCAGATTGTCAAGAGTGTCATTGTGTTATGCTAAACTCTGGGAGGGTACAAATTGGTCATTCCCAAATCTGTGTGTGAAAAATGGCAGGTCTAGTTTGGGCATTGTGATTGCATTGCAGATTACTAAGAGAAGGTAATGGTGGGTATACCGGTAGTGCTCTTTTGTTCTTGCTTCGTTTTTTTGCACCTGAACTTCGTTAGATTTCATAATGCTTTTTTGGCATTCTAATAAGAGGACCCTGAGGTGGGAGTTGTGGGAGACCGGGAGAAGGGGACAGCTTGGCACTGGTCACGTGGGAGTTGCAGTGTGAGGGATGGGGGTGTGCAGCTTGGCACTGGTACTGGGAGGGATGAAGGTGAAGAAGGAGAGAGGGTTGGTTAGGTATGTAGTGTGGGTGGTAGGAAATGCAGGTTGAAGGGAAATTCTCTGGGGCTTTGGGGAGTTTTGTGCGGTGGGTGAGCCAAGAAAATACTAATTAATAATAGTAAGTGTTGGTTAAGTTCTTGCTTGGAAGTGAAAAGTTGCTTAGAAAGCTTAGAACTTTAAGTGCAAAAAAAAGAAAAGAAAAAAACCCAAAACAATTGTTTTGCTTTGCTGCAAGGTGGGGAAGACTGAAAAAGTGTAACCGAAAACAGATGACAGAGTCACCCGTTTTCCGAGAACCCAGAGGGAGGGGTGTATGATGCCATCTCACAGGCAGGGCAAGTGTCTTTACCAGCTTCCTCCTGGTGACCAAGGCAGCCTGTTTTAGAGGGTTGTTTTGTTTGGGGTGTGGGTGTTATCAAGTGAATTAATCACTAGAAGGATGGGTGTCAGACTTGTAGACACAGCAGATCGGCATCCTTCACTGCCCCTTAGCAACTTAGGTGGTCAATCTGAAGCTGTGAAGGTGTGATTTTTCAGGAGCTGGAAGTCTTAGAAAAACCTTGTAAATGCCTACATTGTGGGCTTTTGACATATTTAAGGGACCGCTTAAGACGAGATTAGATGGGCTCCTCTGGGTTTGTAACTCATTTGTCACAGATACCTTGTGATTGAAAATCGTGAGTGAAGTGAAATTGCAGTGCATTTCAAGGGAATTTTGTATGTAAATCGTGCCTTAGAAACACTTCTGTTGTCTTTTTTGTGTTTGGTCGATATTAATAATGGCAAAATTTTTACCTACCTAGTATCTTCAAATCGTAGTCTTTGTAACAAGAACCAAATAACCTTTTGTGGTCACTGTAAAATTAATACTTGGTAGCACACAGAATCCATGTACCTTTGCTAAGGTTAGAATGAATAATTTATTGTATTTTTAGTTTGAATGTTTGTGCTTTATAAATGATCCAAGGCTAGAGGGGAAACTATCACCTAAAATCCATGTGGAAAACAAGAGCTAAAAAGGAAAGGGGATGGGGATTGTGGGGAGGGAGTGGGTGAGGTGCCTTTACTACATGTGTGATCTGAAAAACTTGCTTGGTAATGAGCTGCGGTATTGAATTGGTAAAGTAATACCAATGGCCTTTTATCATTTCCTTCTTCCCTTTAAATTTCACTTAAAATTTTTAAAATCATGGTTATTTTTATCCTTGGGATCTTTCTGTCTTCTGGGTTCCATATTTTAAATGTTTAAAAATATGTTGACATGGTAGTTTAGTTCTTAACCAGTGACTTGGGGATGATGCAAACATCCTGTTGTTGGGATTTAGAGTGTATTACTCATGCATGTATGGGGAAATAGTCTCCGGTATGCTGTTGTGAAATTGAAACTGTAAAAGTAGATGGTTAAAAGTACTGGTGTGTTGCTCTGTATGGTAAGAACTAATTCTGTTACGTCATGTACGTAATTACTAATCATTTTTCTTCCACTTCACAGCACAAATAAAGGTTTGAGTTCTAAACTCATGAGAATTGTTGTATTGCTATGTTACATTTCTCGACCCCTATCACATTGCCTTCATAAGGAAGTTGTGGATGTATCTTCATATTGTAGATTTAGGTCTAGATTTGCTAGCTCCAAGTAATGAAGGCCATGCACAGATAGAACTGCTATTATCCCAAGTGGTCTGCAGACTGCTGGGTGGGGAGGGTATCTCTTGGGAGTTGGTAATGATTTGTTTGAAATGTGATGAACCACTCAAGCCAGTGAAGGTGGGTGTGTGTAGGTGGGGAGTACTTTGCCATAATATTTTAAAACATTACCTGGTTAGAGTTCTAAGTGGTACTTATTTTTGTTTGGTTAGGGGAAAGTCTGAATAAAAACAGAAATGGACACATAATATGTATATTCCATAGTCTTTGGGAGGCTGGAATGTGTCTGGGATTTGGGTCTAAGTATATGTGTAATTCTTATCTCACTAAAGAATTTGGCTTTTTTCTTTTGTTGAGTGACTAAAACGTCTGGGCTTCCCTGTGTGTGCGCTACACTAAGCAAGCAGAGGCTGTGCAAAGGTGTGAGCAGAAGCACATGGAATCTGGAGGGTACATCTTGGCTTGCAAACTGCCTCTGTGTCCTGGGTGGGACTGTTCTGTCCTTGCACTGCTGTTTGGTGTTACCTCTTGGGGTGTAAGGTTTATGCTTACAGGAGACAAACATTGGGCATAAAATGGAAGCCACTGCCAGCCTCTGTGCTGAGAAGGAAGGTGCTTGTTTCAAAGGGAGCAGCAAGGGAGGCTTGTTCTACTCATCTGGGCCTGTTGGCCTGAGAAGGGGAGATAAGGGCTGAACTGGGACTAGCCAAGGGGACCAACACAAATGGTGGGGGATCATGACCTGAAGGATTCTTTCCTTCTCATGAGCTGCGGGACTGGCTGCCGTCCTTACAACTGTCTTATTTGCCTGTGCCGTTGTATCTGGGTGACCCCTCCACGTGTACACTACTGACAAATGGGTTGAGTGCTGGAAAGAAGTCACTGAGCCACCCACCCAGTAAACCTGTCTGTGCTCATGGCACCGCCAGAATGGGGCACTGCTGTGTGCAGGGTCCAGGGCCCTCTTCCTGCTTGCCACTCCTTTCCCTGGATGCCCCAGAAACAATCCAGGCCTCCTTTCCTATCTTACCCCTTTGCTTTGCTTTTACCCCAGCACCTCTGTAACCACCCTGTCTTCTTTTCAGAACTCCTTGTTTCTCCTCTTGTTTTTTATGATTATTACAAAACTGTTGCCTCCACCCTGGAAGATAACTGCTATAGATGCCTCTGTGTAAATGGCCGGGCGCGGTGGCTCAAGCCTGTAATCCCAGCACTTTGGGAGGCTGAGACGGGCGGATCACAAGGTCAGGAGATCAAGACCATCCTGGCTAACACGGTGAAACCCCGTCTCTACTAAAAAATACAAAAAACTAGCTGGGCGAGGTGGCGGGCGCCTGTGGTCCCAGCTACTCGGGAGGCTGAGGCAGGAGAATGGCGTAAACCCGGGAGGCGGAGCTTGCAGTGAGCTGAGATCCGGCCACTGCACTCCAGCCTGGGCGACAGAGCGAGACTCTGTCTCAAAAAAAAAAAAAAAAAATTGATTCACAGGGTATAAATGTTGGGGATTGGAAGTGGGGATGAAATGGCACTTGTTGACACAGGAGCAGAGAGGTGAGGCTGACTGCTGAAGACAGCTCGCCACCCTCCTTGCCTCCACTCCAGTCCAGGGGCTGGGGCCACATTCTTTGCAATTATCCTCAGATCAAGTGAGATCAACAGGAGGTGTTGATGGCAGTGCCAGCAATTATTGCTAATCAGTTTGCATCCTTATGCATGGATCTGAATTCAGACTTTCTGTGAATTCCAGAGGTGTGGGTAATATAATGGAATTCAGTGAGCAGGCATGGCTGATCTTGTGCAAATTGAAAGTTATGGGGCATAAGAATAGCAAAAGTTGAACTTGAACTTCTTTTAAAAAGGAAAGGACCCTGAGAGCCGGTATTGGTTGAGGCTCATCAGTATGCCCAGGTTGGCGACAATGAGAACTGCAGGAACGGCCTGTGTTACAAAAAGGAGATTGACTCAGCTGCCCTGGGTGCATCCTATTGAGTGTGACTCTTAAGGGATTCCAAGGACCCTTAATGCCAGGGCTAACTCTCCATGTACGGTGAGGCCTCTGGAGGAAGTGTTAACCTCTGGCTCTGTGTGCTACTCATTACGGTGCAGTGCTGGCATGAAATGAAGACATGCCCCAATAGGCTTTCAGATGTTTATGATGTGTTTTAAATGTTCATATTTAACAAACAAAAACATACTGATGCTGTTTGGAAATGGCAACAGGAAGATAGCAAAATGAACACTAACATTACGAAAAAATGAGCAGGTATGTGTTCCAAGGCAGGTGACTGTGACCTTCCTCTGAGTGAGGACATCCCCTCCAGCACCTTCCAGCCTGCTGGTTAGGATGACCCGCCACCACCCTCCAGGACCCCCAGCCCTGCACTGCCTTTCCTCTCTTTTAAATAATTCTTGAGTTCTAATATGCTAAAAAAAAAAAAAAGTTTATTGTAAAGTTTGCAAATAAGGAAATTTTTTTAAAAAGTCCTCAGTAATCTTACCGTTAACAATCGTTATGGGCATATTTGCTTTTGGAGGATTTCTTTTGTATGCATGGGATAAGTACATTTTTATACAAAAATGGGATTATGCCATAAATTCTATTTTGTGACTAGTATATAGTGAACACCTTCTTTTAATGATGACAGGATGTTCCCTTGCATGGCTTTATCAATTTAAACAATCTTGATTCAGTGGACATACAGGGTATTTTCTAGTTTTTTTTTCCTCTTAGTAAATAATACTTGGGATGACTTGTAGCTCAGACTTTTTCACGTCTGTTATCTCTTTGGGAATGCTAAATACATTTCGAGAAGGAAATGACCCTGTTAAACTCTTAAGACTTCAGGTTCATATTGCTGAACTGCCCACCAGGGAGGGATTTTTTTCAATTAGTGTTCTCACTAGTGAGGCAAACCTGATGCCTTCCCTCTTCCTCAGAACGGGCTTTATCACATTGAAAACTTTGCTCCTCCAGTGGATCGAGTCTGCTTTCCCTGTGGGTGTGAGCATTGCTTTGTCTGCTGGCGATTGAACATCTCTACCATATGTTGATTGACCATTTGTGGTGTGTGTGCGTGTGTGTATGATTTTCGAATTCCTAGTCATTTTTCTGTTGGTTGTTTTGTAAAAGCTATTTACATCTTAAGGATATTAATAATATTTTGTTATATTTGATGCAAATATTTTTTCCAGCTTATAGATTGCCTTTTAATTTTGTGTTTCAGATAGATAAAAGTTACATGATTTTCTGAGGATAGTTCATCACTGTGGTTTCTGAACTTGTTATATATAGATCTTTTCCACCCCAAGAGTATATAAATCTTAATCCATACTTTCTTGTGGAACTTGTATGGTTTCGTTTTTTTACGTTTAAACCTTATTCCCTGTGGAGTGTGTTGTGGAGTCTGTGTGTGAGGAGGGGCATGGTGCTCTCAGAGCCCACCTCCTGTGACCAGAGAGCCCTGTCCTGTGAGGTTGTTGTCACAGTGGGAGGGTTCACTGCAGAAGACCTCGAGGGCAGGCTGGTGTTTCCTGAATGGGCCTCTGGTTGTTGCTCATCCCTGACTCCGTTTCCCCATCTGAGTAGATTTGGACCTAATAGGACACTGGAACTGGTTCGAATCCTGACTGGACTACTTGGCAACTTTATGTCTGGGAGCAAGTTACTTAACCTCCCCGAGCCTGTGTCTGTGAAATGCGAGTAAATGAATGTAGATGTTTGGCAGCAGCTACTCCTTGTTGAGCTCTCACAGTGAACTCTCCTGCCTCTGCCCTCCTTCCCCGCCTCCTCTGGTGCCTAGCGTCAGGTCTAGCCCCTTCCTCCTGGGTCCCAGTCCCTGTTCTGTGGCTGGCTGCCCGCCCGCCTGGCGCTGGACTTTTCATGCAACGGGAATCAGTGTACATGTTCTGGTCTGATCTGTTTCTACACTTAGTTTTGTTTCCACTAATATTTCCCTGTACCGGCAGAGTTCACAAACACATTTGAAGAGGCTTTTTCTCGGGATTCTTAACCTTCCCAAAGGAAGTCCCATGGATGGGTTTCTAGAAGTCTATAAATGCTCTGAAATTGTGTGTATTTTTCTGTGGAAAGCATAACTTTCATCTGCTTGTTCATCCTCAAAGAAGATCATGAATGAATGATTGCATGATTTTATGCCATTGTGCTTATACTAAAGGATATTTAGCCCATCTCTTGAGTTATTAAACTGTTTTGACTATTTTAAATCGTGCAGCCGTGAGCATCTCTGTAAATTTAGTGTACATATATATCCCTGGAGTGGCATTGCCTGGGCAGTGAGCACTTACGCTTTTATAATTCTTCACAGACTCAAATGACTCCAGAAAGCTACACTTCCTCTTGTGAGTATATTATATCCATTTCCCTATATAGCTGCTAACATCACGTTTTTGCAATTTTGTTTATTTGTTGCTACTCGTAAAAATTTTTGCGGTGAAATACATATAATGGAAGTTTACCGTCTGAATCATTTTTAAGTATACTTTCAGTAGTGTTAAGTATGTTTCCATTGTTGTACAACCAATCTCCAGAACTTTTTCATCTTGCAAAACTGAAACTCTGTACCCATTAAATAACATTAAACATTCCATTCCCTCCAGCCCTGGCAACCACCATTCTTTCTACTTTCTGTGAGTTTGACTACTCCAGGCACTTCATATGAGTTAAATCATGAAGTATTTGTCTGTGACTGGCTTATTTTGCTGAACACAGTGTCCTCAAGATGCATCTATGTTGCAGCATGTGTCAGAATTTCCTTCCTTTTTAAAAGCCGAATAATATTGTATTTTATATCATATTTTGTTTTATCCATTCATCCATTAGTGGACACTTGGGTTGCTTTTGGCTATTGTAAATA